CTCTCCCCCTCTCTCTCTCTCCCTCCCCTCCCTCTCACCTAGAGCAAACAGCTGTTTATTCAGCACGGCCACACTGAGCGCGCTGCGTGGGCTGTTCATCTGCGACACAAACTCCCACTGCTTCTTGTCGATGTTGTAGCGCTCTACCGACCGGAGCTGGCAGCTGCTGTCGTAGCCACCCACTGCGTAGATGAAGTTGTCCATCGAGATGACCCCTGCACACAGACAGACACACAGCATCGTTTGAGTTTGAGGTTCCAATTTTAGTTTTTAGTATATATATAATATGGTGAATTTACGTGCTCCACTACTCAGGACAAAAATGCCTGCTCACAAGTGAAGAATAGCCTTCTGTATACTTAGAGTTAATTCAAAGGCGCTCGAAACTGCAGTTAATTTAGCTGCTGCAAGCCTCATGGTAATACTGCCTGCTTACAATAAATGAGGAATAGCCTTCCCTAAACTTACATATGAGTCAATTCACTTGCTACACTCCTCACGATAAAACTGCCAGGTGACAAATGAGGAATAGCCTTCCCTAAACTTACATATGAGTCAATTCACTTGCTACACTCCTCACGATAAAACTGCCAGGTGACAAATGAGGAATAGCCTTCCATACACTAAGCAAAACTTACAAATCGACTAGCCTTAGATGTTAACTGAGAGGTATTATTTCACCTGCTCCACTTTTAAAGACAAAACTGCCGGCTTACAATTTTATGAGGAATAGCTTTCCACATACTAAGGTGAGGTAAGTTTGCCAAGCAACGTCCGTGCTACTCCACTCCACATGACAAAACTGCCAGCTTACAAATGGTCGCTTTTAAGGACAAGTGGGCTAACCCAGATTTTGTGGGTTTCCAGAAATCTTGACCTACACCAAGAGTGGGAATTGCCCTACCTATAGGAGAAGTTTGGTTTCATTGGTGCGTATATTTGTTTGGTATTAGTGAAAACTTTCGTTTTCTTTAAATGAAACTAAATAAGGATCCAAAAACTTAAGCTTCGATTTTCTCAAAACAGCATTTTTCGGGATGGCCCACTTGAGCTTAAAAGCGACCAAATGAAGACTAGCCAAGTTCCTTCACCTGCTCTACTCCTCATGATAAAACAGTCTGTTTACAAAGCAAGAATAACCTTCCCTGTACTAAGACGAATTAATGTACTGGCTCCTTTCTTTATGATCAAACGGCCAGCTTACAAATGAGGAATTATAACCTTCCTTAACTAAGTTACCGCCATTCCGTTAGTACTTCACCTGCTTCACTCCTCATGACAAAACTGCCTGTTTACAAAAATGAGGAATAACCTTCCCTGTACTAAGATGAGTTAATTTACTGGCTCCTTTCTTTTGATCAAACGGCCAGCTTACAAATGAGGAATTATAACCTTCCTTAACTAAGTTACCGCCATTCCGTTAGTACTTCACCTGCTCCACTCCTCATGGTGTTCATGGGTTTGATCTCCGTCCAGAGGTCGTGCTCCGGGTCGTAACACTCCACGCTACACAGCCTGTTCTGACCGTCAAAGCCACCCACGGCGTACAGGAGGCGGTTCAGCACCGCGCAGCCGACGCCGATCCGACGTGCCGACATGCTGGCGATCTCTGTCCACCGGTCGTTCTCCGCGTCATACCTGGGGGGGGAGAACAGGGAGGGATGAGGGGAGGTGTAGGAGACGGGGGAGAAGGAGGGGAGAAGGCGGGGGAAGAGAGAGAGCGAGAGAGAGAGAGAGAGAGAGAGAGAGAGAGAGAGACAGAGAGACAGAGACAGAGAGAACAGGGAAGGATAAGGAGAGGTGTAGGAGACGGGGGAGAAGGAGGTGAGAAGGAG